AAATTATTTTGTTTTTGGTAAAATTCAGGTGGCATCAGAGACGATTTAAAATACATATATATATATATATATATATATATATATATATATATATATATATATATATATATTTCGATTCGTATTCTATTTTTCGTCTCGAATGCTACCTGAATTTGCCACTTTCGCTACTATATCGACGAGTTAAATGTCCTAGTGCCACCGGCTCATCCTTTCACAGCTGGTGCTCGCTATGACGAGTTCACAGTGGGAAACCATCCACACACTCTTCGTTTTCTATAATAAGAAGCAAATTCCATTGAGGCAGGTTCTTTTCGACCGAGAGTAGGATTCCACAGTCTTTCCCTGTTTAAAACTCGTTTAGAAAATATTTTCTTAGTCTTCCCTCCCTTACAATCTCCTTTAATAAAAAAAATATAGTAATAATAATCATAATAATAATAATAATAATAATTGTTATAAAAGACTAAAAACAAAAACGGTGCCCCCTTGTTGATATGGCAGTCCCTGCTGACTGCAATGTATCTTTGAAGATATTCAAAAAGCTGTCAAAATACAAGGACCTTGAAATAGAAATCTCGAAAATGTGGGATATGGGAACATCAACAATCCCTGTTGTAGTTGGAGCCCTTGGACTGGTTGGAAAAGATTGCAGTAGACTAATTGAAGGGATTCCTGGAAGTCCATGCCTCAAGGAGATACAAAAAATTGTTCTGACAAGTACAGCCCAAACTTTACGAAGGGCTTTATCTATGTAATTTTTTTTTTTGTCAGTGGAAAGTGTCATGATGCCATTTCTAACTTTAGGTCCCTGAGCGGGAACCAGAAAGAAATGTGTACACGCCTGGAATCAAAGAAAATAAAAATAATAATAATAGTAATAGTAATAGCATCCACGGAATTTAAAAAAAAAACCTATGGATGACCTGGAAATCGAAATAGAAAAAAATGTGGAAATTGAAAACAAGAATAGTACTAGTTATGGTAGGTGCGCTTGGAATGATAAAAAAGGAACACAACAACACTTTGAAAATATCCCTGAAAATACCAGCTTAAGAGAAATACAAAAAAATGTCTTGATAAGTACAGCCCAAACACTAAGAAGAACTTTGTCCATGTAATTTTACTCAGGTTATGGGAGTTAGAAAAACTAATCATGATGTGTAGACATAACAACACACAACTACCTGCCTTACGTCTTCCCGCAGATTTGGTTGGTAGTGTGACCATAGCAGAAAATTGAATAATAATAATAATAATAACAACAACAACAATAATAATAACAACTAATAATAATAATAATAATAATGATTGCTGGACAGAACCAATACTTTCTAACTGCAAATTTCCAAGGACACACATTGAAAAATTGTGTTAAACCGAAATGCAGATTCTGTGATAAATATGCAGAAACAATTGACCATCTTGTGTCAGGTCGCATGGTGTTAGCACCCAATGGCGATCAAATTCGGCAATAAAGATAAAATTTAAGCCAATAACTGTATACATATATACAAATTTACGGAAAGGAAACTGCTAGAAACTGGTATGAACATCACTCCGACCCGGCTTTCGAGATAGGAACTGTAACTATTTTTTTCGGACTTTATAATACACAAAGATAGAACAATCAAAATGAATCCCCCAGACATCGAGAATAAAGACTACAAGAACAGAATTTGCTTTCTTGTTGACGTGGCAGTCACTGCAGATTTTCATGTATCTTTGAGGATCTTAAAAATGGCTATCAAAATATAAGTATCTTTAAGTGGAAATCCAAAAAGCAAAAAAGGCGGAACGTAAGGACATCAGTAATTCCAATTGTGGTTGGCGCCATCGGAGAATGTTCCGTTCGACATATTGTAAATGTGGAAAATGCAAACAAGAATACTACTCGTTATGGTAGGTGCGCTTGGAATGATAAAAAAGGAACACAACAACACCTTGAAAACATCGTTGGAAATCCCAGATCAAGAGAATTACAAAAAATTGCCTTGATAAGTACAGCCCAAACATTAAGAAGAACTGTGTCTATGTAACGATAGTGAGGTTATGGGAGTTCGAAAAATAAATCATGAAAGGTAGCCATAGAAACACACCAGTACCTGACTTAGGTCTTCCCTTGACTTGGTAGACAGTGTGGCCATAGTAGCAATCGAAATAATAATAATAATAATAATAATAATAATAATAATTGCTGCACAGGACAAATGCTTGCTAACTACAAATTACCAAGCACACACTGAAATTTGTATTAACCGCAAATGCAAATTCTCTGATAAATATTCAGTAAAAATTGGCCATCTTGTATCAGGTTGCATGATATTAGCACACAATGGCGATAAAATTCGGCACGATAGAATGGGCCAATAACTGCATTCACATATAAAGGAAGAAAACTCCAAGAAACTGGTATGAAAATCACCTCGACTAGAGAGATGGGACTTGTAACAATTTTATGGGATTTTACAATACACACAGACAGAAAAATCAAAACTAATTGCAGATGGTAATGTATTTTTGAAGTGGTATGTGTCATAAATTAGTCACCCCCCTATGCAACCCTTACCCCCCAGACGAATCCTTGCTCTATCACTATTACAAAGACAGATGTTCAAAAGAGGTAGAGTCTTTCGTTCCACCAGCTCAGAACTTCATGGGTAGGACACGCCCTGTCGTGTTCACAGCGGCAAATCATACCCATTCCTTTTGATAATGCTATTTCTGACCTTAGGTCTCTTGTCGGGACCCGGAAAGAAATTAGTATACTTTAGAAACCAAAAGAAATAATAATAATAATAATAATAATAATAAGAGATACAAAAAATTGCTTTGACAAGTACCGCCCACACTTTACGAAGGGCTTTATCTATGTAATTTTTTTTTTTTTTTTTGCCAGTGGAAAGTGTCATGATGCCATCTCTAACCTTAGGTCCCTGGGCGGGACCCGGAAAGAAATGTGTAAATGCCAGAAATCAAAGAAATCAAAAAAATAATAATAAGTTCAAAATGGAGTTTCAAATGGGTGTAGAAATACAAGCAAAGCACAATACAACGATTGAAGCTGCAAAATACTTAAAAAAGAAAGCAAAGACAAATGCAACCGACCAAATACAAAAACGATGGCAAGATAAACCTCTTCATGGCCAATACTCTGCCCGTACCAAAGAAGCTGATGTAGACAAAACCCGTACCCATCAGTGGCTACGTAGTGCAGGGTTAAAAGATGAAACTGAAGGTTTTATCCTTTGTTTCACAGGACCAATGCTTGCTAACTAGGAATTATCAAGCACATATACTAAAATATTGTGTCAGCCCAAAATGCAGATTCTATGATAAATATCCAGAAGCAACTGATCATCTTGTATCGGGTTGCACGATATTGGCACCCACTGAATATAAAACCCGGCATGACTTGGCCAATATCTGCACTGGAAAATCTGCAACTTCTACGGGAAGGAAACTGAAAGAAATTGGTATGAACACCACCCAGACCCGGTTACGGAGATAGAACCTGTTACTATTTTATGGGACTACACAATACACACTGACAGAAAAATCAAAGCTAATTGCAGATGGCAATGTATCTTTGAAGCGATCACAAGTCCTTATGTGTCATAAATTATCCTCCCTATGCAACCCTTACCCCTCAGATGAATCGTTGCTAGCCCCTGTCTTCTCTATCGCTATTACAAAGACAGATGTTCGAAAGAGGTAGAGTCTTTCGTTCCACCAGCTCACAACTTCATAGGTAGGACACGCCCTGTCGTGTTCACAGCGGTAAACCATCGCCATTCCCTTTAGTTCTTTGATAAAATGCAAGTTCAACCCAGACAGCTTATTCCTCAAAATTGCTTTCTTTGTAGAACAAAATTCAGAGGAAATGCTTTCTGGATAATTACAATCTTGGACTCTTTATAAGCCCAGGATCAACCGATATCTATTCTACTCGTCGCCATAATACTCTCTTATTTCCACATTCTTTACCACATTCCCACTCATTTACCCTCTAATTTGAGTGGCTTTTGGGCCACGTATATGGTAAACTAGCAGTAAAAAAAAAAAATAAGATCACATTATAAATTATACGATGATGTCTTACGGACAAGGCTGCTCCTGCGACCGGGATGTTGGTGTTTTGTTACAGCCAGTAGATTTTGCGCTAGGAAAACATGTTGGTTGATTCATCATCATTCAATGGTTGAAGTCTAAAATCATTTATAACTGTATCTTGATAAATAAAAAATAATCTATTAATTAGTAAAATACCTACATCCTTGTACAAATTAACTGAAACAAAACGAATAATTCCGTTATTATTTAATTTTCTTACTTATTTTTTCCAATGAAACATGACCCAGTGCACATATTAGAACTTCGTATGTCAATTCCAGGAAGTCGTTCCTTGCAGATTGACCACAGATTCTCGATTGGATTTAAATCAGAGGAGTTTCCGGGACAATCTATTTGCTCACTGGTAAGGCTTGCTGATGTGTTCGTGCAGCGTTCAATTTTCGTACGTCCCCTAGGAGTAACGTCCATCGCAGACAGTGACCGTAGGACAACTAATCGACAGTTGAGACAATAGTGTCTGGGCGGGATATAAATTCGATTAAATCACGGATGAGGTAATATTTCATCATAGACCCCCCAAATAGATTCATATAACTGCACATCGCAACAAATGACTTAATCTGAGGAAAAAATAGAAATCAATTACACCCTGTCACTCTAATGGGTCTAAAACTGACGTGTGTAGAAGGAAATTATAAATGTAGCCGTTTTCTTTTAATTTTTTAATATTTTTATAGTCATGTGTTTTGGCTATGAAAAACCGTTTCATAATTGAAAACGTATTTACTTCGGTTTATAATTATCTCTTGCAAAACGAAATCCTTACATTTGACATGATAAAGTCCATCAGAGGACGAAACGTGTTGGTAAAGAAAAAGTTTTCCTTTTTTTTTGTTTTTCTATATTTTTCCTTTTTACTTTTATTTTACTTTAATAGACTTATAAAAGAGTGGCGAAAGAAAGAAAGAAAGAAAGAAAGAAAGAAAGAAAGAAAGAAAGACAGAAAGAAAGAAAACAGAAAAGAAGAGAATAGACTTATAAAAGACTGAAGAAAGAAAGAAAGCAGAAAATAAAGAAAAGAATAGACTTACAAAGAAGAATGAAAAAAAGAAAGAAAGAAAGAAAGAAAGAAAGAAAGGATTTGACTTATAAAAGACTGAAGAAAGAAAGAAAGAAAGAAAGAAAGAAAGAAAGAAAGAAAGAAAGCAGAAAAGAAAGAATAGAATAAACTTACAAAAGAAAGAAAGTAGAAAATAAAAAAAGGAATAGACTTATAAAAGACAGAAGAAAGAAAGGAAGAAAGAAAGAAAGAAAGAAGGAAAGAAAGAAAACAGAAAAGAAACAAAGGAATAGATTTATAAAAGACTGAAGAAAGAAAGAAAGAAAGAAAGAAAGAAAGACAGAAGCACTTAGATAATGAAAAAAAAGAGAGAAAGAAAAACAGCCTAAGATAATGAACGTGCTAAGAAAGAAAGAAAGAAAAAAGAGAAAGAAAGAAAGAATCACTTAGATAATGAACATGCTAAGAAAGAAAGAAAAAATAGAGAAAGAAAAACAGCCTAAGATAATGAACGTGTTAAGAAAGAAAGAAAAAAGAGAGAAAGAAAAACAGACTAAGATAATGAACGTGCTAAGAAAGAAAGAAAGAAAAAAGAGAGAGAAAGAAAGAAAGAAGCACGTAGATAATGAACATGCTAAGAAAGAAAGAAAAAAGAGAGAAAGAAAAACAGCCTAAGATAATGAACGTGCTAAGAAAGAAAGAAAGAAAAAAGAAAGAAAGAAACTAAAAAGAGAGAGAGAGAAAGAAAGAAGCACTTAGATAATGAACATGCTAAGAAAGAAAGAAAAAATAGAGAAAGAAAAACAGCCTAAGATAATGAACGTGCTAAGAAAGAAAGAAAGAAAGAAAGAAAGAAAGAAAGAAAGAAAGAAAGAAAAGAGAGAGAGAGAGAAAGAAATAAAGAAAGGAATAAGGAAGCACTCAGGTATTGAACATGCGAAGAAAAAAGAAACAAAGAAAGAAGGAAAGAAGGAAAGAAAATAAAAATGGAAAGAAAGAAAAGAATATTAGTGTACATCAATGCAAATGACCGAATCTTAGGAAGAAATAGAAATCGATAGAATCCTGTCACTCCAGTGGGTCTAAAAAAAGACTGTCTGTGAAAGAAAGGAAACGAAAGCGGTTGTTTCAATTAATTTGCACAAGGGGGCAACTTTCACGAGTCAAATCTAACCAAGAATGGAGCATATATATATATATATATATATATATATATATGTGTGTGTGTGTGTGTGTGTGTGTGTGTGATAGATAGATAGATAGATAGATAGATAGATAGATAGATAGATAGATAGATAGATAGATCCTATAACTGGGCTGATACTGACAGGTCTTCACTGTCCAGACAGAGCTAAAAAAAATATCCGTGTCTCTTCGATAAAAAGCAAATTCCAGAACTGTTTTCTTTGTGGAACAAACTTCTGAGGGAATGCTTTCTGGATAATTACAATCTTCGTCTCTTTAAATCCAGGGTCAACCGACACCTACCCTACTGTGCCACTTCAACTTCCCTTGCAATCTCACTTCTCTGCATTGAGTGGCTATTGGGCCTTGTAAAAATCACTAATATTAAATTATAACGGAGAATTTATAAATGGAAAAGCAAGATATGAAATGAAAGAAAGAATTAAGAGATTAAAGTAAAAAAAGAATGGAAAACATGGAAAGTCAAATGGTTTCAATGTCTTTTTGGAATGAAAAGAAAGAAAGAAAGAAAGAAAGAAAGAAAGAAAGAAAGAAAGAAAGAAAGATGAATTGGAAAGTTATGAAAAGAAAAAGAAGATTGAAAGAAAAAAGAGGGAAGGGATATAAAAGAAAGAAAGAAAGAAAGAAAGAAAGAAAGAAAGAAAGAAAGAAAGAAAGATGAATTGGAAAGTTATGAAAAGAAAAAGAAGATTGAAAAAAAAAAGAGGGAAGGGATATAAAAGAAAGAAAGAAAGAAAGAAAGAAAGGAAGAAAGAAAGAAAAAAAGAAAGAAGGAAAGAAAGAAAAAAGGAAGCACACAGATGATGAACACGCTAAGAAATAAAAAGAAAGAAGAGGGAAAGAAAGAAAGATAATGAACATGCTAAGAAAGAAAGAAAGAAAGAAAGAAAGAAAGACAGACAGAAGGAAAGAAGCACTCAGATAATGAACGTGCTAAGAAATAAAGAAAAAATGAGAAAGAAAGAAACAGAGTAAGACAATGAACATTCTAAAAAAGAAAGAAAGAAAGAAGAAAGAGAGCAACAAAGAAAAAAACAGACTAAGATAATTAAAGGGGAAAGAAAGAAAGAAAGAAAGAAAGAAAGAAAGAAAGAAAGAAAGAAAAAAATAAAGAAAGAAAGAAAGATGAATCGGAAAGTTATGAAAAGAAAAAGAAGGAAAGAAAAAGAGGGAAGAGATATAAAAGAAAGAAAGAAAGAAAGAAAGAAAGAAAGAAGGAAAGAAGGAAAGAAAGAAAGTTGTGGGGAAGTGTTAAAAAAAGGAAAAATATATTTGGAAGGGAAAAGTGAAATAAAGAAATAGTGGAATGAAAAGAAAAGCATGAAAAAGAAAGAAAGATTTGAAATGATATGAAAAGAAAAAGAAAGAAAGAAAAAGAGAGAAAGTATATAAAAGAAAGAAAGAAAGAAAGAAAGAAAGAAAGGACCTGAAAAGTAAGAAAGAATAAATAAGAGATGAAAAAGCAATGGTTAATTGAAGCTAAAATGGTGAAATTAGGGAAGACAGAGAAAATGAACAGGAAAAAAAATTGCAAGCGATCAATATTTTCCCACTGGTGTTTTATTTTAAAGGATATTAACGTTAATATGTCGATCTCGTGAGACACGAACGAATCTCGCGAGACCTTTAATCCAATCAAATCTCCTACCATTGTCGTGTCACGTTTGTAGAATCCATCAACCGAATTTTTACCGAAACTTATCTTGAAGACTTTCATTGAAGGTCGACTGACAATTCTAAAACTTTTCTCTTCAATGAGATTCCCCACTGCCATTTCTTTCTGCACGATTCTCATTTTTTTTTTCTTTCTTCTGTTTGAGTTGATTCTTTTACACCTGGATCACTATTTTTAGGCAAAGGGCTTCTTGTCTTTCTTCCTCGTCCAAATTTCCTGTGAGATTCCAGTTGACATTTTTTTTTTTTTAGTTTTCAACTGAGCGTCTCTTTCGCTTCTGACTGTTGATCCGAGTGGCGCCATTTTGGAACGCGCGGTTTGCTGGCGACATTTTTTCTTTCTTTCTTTCTTGCATTTGTTTCTTTCTTTTTCATTTTTTTTTTTTGTTTGTTTGTGTCATGGTGTTACTTTTACAATTTTTATTTCCTCAAAAAAAAAAAAAAAGTGATCCATTTTTCGTATGTTATTTGTTTTTTTTTCTTTTCTTTTTTATTTAATAAATAAAGATATAAATACTGTTGAAAGAAAAAATGAAAGAAAAAATGATGGAAAAAAATGAAAAAAAATGAAAGAAAAAATGAAGGAAAAATGAAAGAAAAAATGAAAGAAAAATGAAGGAAAAAATGAAAGAAAAAATGAAAGAAAAAATAAAGGAAAAAATGAAAGAAAAATGAGGGGAAATGAAGAAAAAATGAAAGAAAAAAAATGAAAGAAAAAATGAAGGAAAAATGAGGGAAAAATGAAGGAAAAAATGAAAGAAAAATTAAAGGAAAAAATGAAAGAAAATGAAAGAAAAAATGAAGGAAAAATGAAAGAAAAAATGAAAGAAAAATGAGGGAAAAATAAAGGAAAAAATGAAAGAAAAAATGAAAGAAAAATTAAAGGAAAAAATGAAAGAAAATGAAAGAAAAAATGAGGGGAAATGAAGAAAAAATGAAAGAAAAATGAAAGAAAAAATGAAAGAAAAAATGAAGGAAAAATGAAAGAAAAAATGAAAGAAAAATGAGGGAAAAATAAAGGAAAAAATGAAAGAAAAAATGAAAGAAAAAATAAAGGAAAAAATTAAAGAAAAATTAAAGAAAAAATGAAAGAAAAAGAAGAAAAAATGAAAGAAAAATTAAAGGAAAAAATGAAAGAAAAATTGAGAGAAATAAAATCAGGCGTAAACGAAACAACTAACGTAATTAGAATAAAATATATATTAGACAAAAATAGCTAGGTAGCTAGCTAGCTAGATAGATATGAACAGGCTGAAATAAGGACAGATAGACATGAACAGGCTGAAACAGAGATCGGTAGATAGATACATACGAGCAGAAAGGATAGATCTGAACAGGCTGAAATTAGGACAGACAGAAATGAGCAGGCTGAAATTGAAGCAGAGATAGCTAAATAGATAGATATGAACAGAATGAATTGATAGATCGATATGAACAGGCAGAAATTACGACAGATAGACATTAAGTGGCTGAAATTGAAACAGATAGATAGATAGATAGATAGATAGATAGATAGATAGATAGATAGATATTATTTAAAAAAGAGTGTAAAATATGGAAGTAATTAAAAGAACGTAAAAGAAAGAAAGAAAGGCAGATGGAAAATAAATGAAAATTACGTCTTAAAATTGAAAACCGATAAAGAAATGAGGAAAATATATTTAAAAATAAATCCGTAAACGATAACAAAAATCGAAACACGAAAGGAAGATTAAAGAAGAAATATTTTCTTCCTTTTTTCATTACTTTTATTTTCTTTATTTGCTGATAGATAGATATGAACAGTATAGATAGATAGATAGATAGATAGATAGATAGATATGAACATTATTTGATAAATAGATCGATATGAACAGTATTTGATAGATAGGTAGATAGATAGATATGAACAGTATTGATAGATAGATAGAGAGATAGATAGATAGATATGAACAGTATTTGATAGATAGATATGAACAGTTTTGACAGATAGATAGATATGAACAGTATTTGATAGATAGATAGATAGATAGATAGATATGAACAGTATTGATATATATATATATATATATATATATAGAGAGAGAGAGAGAGAGATAGATAGATAGATATGAACAGTATTTGCTAGATAGATAGATGTGAACAATATTGATAGATAGATATGAACAGTATTTGATAGATAGATAGATAGATAGATAGATAGATAGATAGATATGAACATTATTTGATAAATAGACCGATATGAACAGTATTTGATAAATAGGTAGATATGAACAGTATTGATAGATAGATAGATAGATAGATAGATATGAACAGTATTTGATAGATAGATATGAACAGTTTTGACAGATAGATAGATATGAACAGTATTTTATAGATAGATAGATAGATATGAACAGTATTGATATATATATATATATATATATATATATATAGATAGATAGATAGATAGATAGATATGAACAGTATTTGCTAGATAGATATGAACAATATTGATAGATAGATATGAACAGTATTTGATAGATAGATAGATAGATAGATATGAACAGTATTTGATAGATAGATAGATAGATAGATAGATATGAACAGTATTTGATACATAGATAGATAAATAGATAGATAGATATGAACAGTATAGATAGATATGAACAGTATTGATAGATAGATAGATAGATAGATAGATAGATAGATAGATAGATAGGTAGATAGATAGATGAGAAAGTATGTAAAATATGGAAAAATTAAAACAACAAAATTTAAAAGAAAAAGAGAGAAAAAAAGAAAGAATGGAAAACAGAAAATATAAAAGTACATCTTAAATTTTTTTAAATCTTTTAAAAATATTTTTCTTCTTTTTCCATTACTTTCATTTTCTTTCTTTATCATTTCCCAGTTACATTTTTTCCCAACATCATCTTCTCATCTTTCTGTGTTTTCTTTCATGTGTTCTTTCATCTTTTCTTTCATTCCCTATATCAACAACGTTTCACCTATTTTCTTTTCTTTCCTTTCATTTTATTTTATTTTTTTAAATTAATTTTATTTTAATAAAGACCCCATAATTATTCAAATCAATACACTGTGGAAATCAAGATCGATTTTCAAGTCTTCATTCGATTAAAGCCGAGATCAATTTAGGTAGTCACATGATCAAGATGGGGGTCTCTCTTGCAAAGTAAAATACTTCTTTAATTTTAAAGGCTAAGCTTTTTGGTGTTTCTTTCTTTTATTCTTTCTTATTTTCTATCTTAACGTATCTTCCATATTCCTTCGTTCCAGCAACCTAATTTTCTTTTGATTTATTCTTTCATCTATTGCGTCTTTCAATTCACTCCGGGAAAGGCAATAAAAAAAAAAAACATTACGACGCAAGGCGTTACTGAGAGCTAAAGAAACAGTATAAGAAAGGAAGAGGTAGATTGACATTGCATTGAAATTTTCGAAACTCTTAGTTGACAGGAAGGCAAAAAGTTTTAAATAGAGTTCCATAGGCGGAAAGCATAGAACTCATGCTTCAAAATCTTCTTCTTTTTAGTGAAGTGTCCCTTCAGGATGTTGGCGATCATGGCTCTCCACTTCTCCCTATCCCTTGTAGCTCTCACTAAGTTTCGTCCCTTTTCTGCTTCTTCCAAACCCCGTTCCGTCACCCACTTAGTTAAGCCTGCTAGGTATGACACAAGTCGCTTTTCCTTGTCTTTCTTTCCCTATATTCGCCCTGTGAGTATCAGATTCTTCAAGCCCTCCTTTCTCATTACGTATCCCAGATATTTCAGCTGCCTCTTCCTGATGCTAAGTATAAGCTTCCTCCTTGTTTGCTTCCCCTCGAAAACCTTATCGTTCGGTCCATGATATCCTTAGCATCCTTCTGTAGACCCATACCTCTGCTACCTCGAGTGGCTTCATCTTTGAGGAGACTGTCCAACATTCGCTGCCGTAAAGGAGGGCAAATGTCACGTAGCTGTTCAGTACTCTTTTCTTTATTAACAACGAAATCCTCCTGTCTCATAATACTCTGCCTAACTTTTGGAATGTGTTTTTGGCCATCCCAATATGTCTTCGGATCTCAGCGTCGCACTTACTCAGAAACACTTCCCAGATATTTAAATTTCCTCACCTGTTTGACTTTAGTGTCCCCGACCTGTAAATCGTATTTCGGGCTCATCCGCGACGTTTAAACTCGTGAAGGCGAGGTACCAATTCAGCCTCATCATTTATCCTGTCAATTTAGCTTTGTGGCCGGATTGGCAGAGGCACGCCTCAGCTAAAGAAGTGGTTGTCCTGAGAAATGCAGGTTCGGTTCCTGTCTGAGGCAGAATCTTTCATTAGTAGGACTTGTCAAATTTAGGTAAGTTGTTATTGATTTTTACTGTTTAATAAAATTTAAATAGAAATCTGGGGTAACATTTCCATTACGTGTACCCAATAAAAATAACGTTAATAATAAAAAAATATATAAATATATGTGTGTAAGATTCGAACACGGGTATCTTGATTCAGAATTCGTACGTTCTGACCACTCAGCCACGTGCTGATAGGCAAAACGGGCATGTCGATTTGTCAGGAAAGAGACTTTCTGATCTTATCGACCAGAAGAGGTAGATCCCCGCGTGCGGCACCTTCGGAAAGTGCCTGAAATCCATACGACAGGTTGATCCAAGCCTTGCGAGTAAAATTGAGTAGACGCAAACCCTGGGTACCGTCTACTCAATTTCTATAGCTGAGCTAGCACGAAGTCACTAGTCATCGTGGCCGAGGGCTTGAGCGTGCTTGCCTAGATCACGCTAGATAACACGTACTTTCCCAGAAATTGCAACTAAGGTCTGTTCAGCATAGTTGCAGTATGTATCTCTGTGGGTTTTTAATTAACACAAAATAGGTCTGAGCAAGCGTACGAATAAGGACTGGGTAGCAGCCCTTGTAGACAGGTATTCCCGAATATGAGTGGCCAGTTATACTATATATATATATATATATATATATATATATATATATATATATATGTGTGTGTGTGTGTGTGTGTGTGTGTGTGTGTGTGTGTGTGTGTGTGTGTGTATATCGCGTAGGTATTGATATAATAGGAAAGAATTGTTAGATTGATGATCAAAGTTCTTTAGTAATTTTCTGTTTTTATTTTTAAACACAATCCAAGATAAACAAATAGAGCCTAGATTATTATTTTTTTAAAATATGATTCCACCACGACACAGAAATGACTATGTTTCGAAACTGGCCAGCAGTATTCCAATATTAAACCTTAACCACTGAGTGGCAGTTTCATTCTCTAGCCTTGTTTTGGAATAACGATGGTATGGAATGTTTTACTCTTTTATAGTTTTGAAATGGGTGTATGGTCTGGGGTTTGTTTTTAGAGTTTTAGCAGAGAGTCTGTTAAGATTAACCATTGTAGCCAGACAAAAAACAAAAAAACAAAAAAAAACAACCCAAACTTACACAACTCCCAAAACTTGATATCCCACACACCCCCTACTTCCATCAAAGCAGTAACCCCTGGATAAAGAAAAAACAAGCCCCAGACCAGACCCCCATTTCAAAACTACAAATGAGTAAAATATTGTCTTTTAGATATTAAACATTTTGTGGGAAGGACAATTATGCTGTTCCACAATTTGGACAATTTCGCTGTTAAACGCGATACGTGTATATACATATATATATCTGCTTCGCTATATCACAGCTCACCAGTGTGACTAGATATCCGATTCCTTTAAGCCGGAATATATATATATATATATATATATATATATATATATAGAGAGAGAGAGAGAGAGAGAGAGAGATTCATACATGTTTCATTAAATAATATAGACAAGTGTTGTCTATTTATGTTATGTAAATTCCTTTCATAACGTCTGATAATAACATTATCATTAAACGAATATATATATATATATATAAATATAGATAACTAGACTCGTTTCGAAAACCCTCGAATTTTGATTTGCTAATCAAATCAATCTCGAGGGAAAAAAAAGGTTTTAAAAAAGAAAGAGCTACAAACATGAACTTCTGCCGACAAAAAATCGCACAGATGCAGGTCTGAAGCCCAAAGAAAAAAACCCCGATACGAGTAACAACTAACTAACAAAAGAGCTCAATACAACCGTAGAGCAGACCTAGATACACCTAGTGAGCCAGACTAGGTGTATCTATCTATCTATCTATCTATCTATCTATATATATATATATATATATATATATATATCGACTCTCCCGTCGAATTCGACGTGTGAGGGTCAAGCAGATCAATTCCTATGAAATCCTAGGAAACCGACAACAGCACATATGATTTGATTATAGTGGTGAAGGTTTCGTGCAGGACTATCCACACTTTTTGAAGGGACGAATACAGAGACCTGGTGCACTACGTGCCACGAGGTTCCCCAAACGACCCTCCGCAGGTTTTGAATTCAGAGTTGTCCTTCTCCTAGACCAGTTGCCATCCAAGGCTATAGAACCCAGTCTGTCCTGCTATTTACCCATAGCTGGAGGGTGACGAAGAGGATTCACACCTTTCCCAAGGGTATTAGCACGTAAATGAATGTAGTGGATTCGAATGTAATGGAATTCGAACTCGGCTCTCCGGTTCCTCAAGCCAAGACGCTCCACCGTATATATATATATATATATATGAAGACCTGTTTGGGGAATAATGTAGTGTCTTTTGCGCTCAATTCGAAGTGTAGGTGAACTCGGTATGCAAAACCTGCCCACATAGATGATTATTTGAAGAATGTCTTTCGCGTTCGGCAATACCTTGTATGATGATACATTTTGTAAATATGAATGCAAAGACATATTTTTTGAAAAATAAAAAATAAAACCAAAACGGAAACGGAATAAAAATGTTGAACCCAATACCAAATTCGATCAGGTTATTTTTATTTTATTTTCGATTTGCAAATCTCTTCAGAGATAGCATCAAGATTTAATTTTAGATCCGCAAACGTCGATTCTGATAAGATTAGACAGCAATGAGAACGCATATGATATTTGCGCATTCCTATGACTACAGCTTTGACAGATTTTTCGGACCGATACTCTCTCTCTCTCTCTGCATACATATATATGTGTGTGTGTGTGTTATTTCTCTCTCTCCACACACACACACACACACACACATATATATATATATATATATATATATATATGTATGTATATATATATATTTAATCACTTTAAACGTTATTGTTAGTGGATACTCGCATTTAACTAGACGCTCTGGTTATTTTAAAATTTACATATATATATTTACATATATATTACGAAATGTATTAAGTCCGATAATTATTCAATATAATTTCTGTTTATACGTTATTTTGAGGATATACTTTATTTAAGTAAATGCTTTGTTTTCTAATTAAACAATATTAAAGAATGTTCGAGAAAATATGCGTTCTCCGACAGGAATCGATCCTGAAACCGTTATGGGTTGGTAGGTTATTCATTTTCATAGACAATCTGTGTATCAAAATATAACTTACTTTCAAAACCAGGTTAAGTTTGATTGAATTTCCTGTAACCTTAGCAACTAATATCAAGAATGTATGTTCTTGTAAACTCAGTAAATTTCAAAATAAGTTATTCCAAACTAGCTTCAAAATAAAACAGTACTAAGGATTTTAATTTAATTATATAATTAAAGTTGAAGTTTTTAGTTTCTGTTTTTGAAACGTGGTAATTCCTGTGTAGTGATGGAACCTTATTTTTAAATTAGTAAATTTATATTTATGCTCTACAAAATTGTATTGAGCACTTTTTTTAAAATAAAAATAATTAATAAGAACACCGGATTATAAATCTTACTGTTCTTTCTATTTATTTTAATATATATATATATATATATATATATATATATATATATGTGTGTGTGTGTGTGTGTGGAAAATTAAGTATACAGTAATAGGACACAAAACGTACGCACAATACTTATTGTACTGATTGTACAAACATACCAATAATCAATCATTTCACCCTAAGCAAGACAATAAAGCCACTAAGACAGTATCAGAAAAATAAAACTATTAAGGAGTAGAGAACAATTGATATTGCGCTTGAATTTTTGAAGATCAAAGTTGACTGAGAATCAAGATGCCGTAAAAGATTTCCACAAGCAATAAGTGCGATAGAAGAAACAGCATAGAACGTACGGTTAAATCCGACCATTTCAACTGTAAAATGATGGGACCTATCTGCCAATCTAGTACTGCACTTATATTCATAAAGTATAGATTCCATAGAAGGAAATTCATTAGAACAATTAACACGGAAGTATCTCTAGAAAAGTCACAGGTAATCTACGTTACGGTGATAGGTATGTGACTGAAGCCTAGATGCCTGGTCAGGGTCAATAACATTGCACATTATTGTTTGGAACTTATCAAGAATCTTTAAATATGTAGCAGACGCACCGGGCCATATGTGGCAGCAATTTTGAAGGTATGGAAGAATGGTAGACTTGTAAATAATGTAAGGTAGATTTGGATGCGAAACTTTGTCTAGCACGACACAGAGATAATAAGAAAAAAAGATAATTCAGTATATTGAGTGACTCTTGTGCCTTGTGTTGGATGGACATATGCTAAAAAATGAGAGTACGTCTGAAGAAACTGTCAGCATAGAACTTACGGCTGCCAATCTAGTATTGTGTTTAAATTCATAAAATCTAGATGCTTTAGGGCAGGGGTCGGCAACTCATTCGACCCCTCGGGCCGGATCGTGTTATAATGACGGATCGCGGGCCGGACGAAGGCCATTAATGAAAAATTAAGGAAAATTACATATGCAATCCCCCCTGTCAACCTAAATATTTAAAACCATAATGAAAATAAACATTGAGAAATCAGAAAAACAAAAGAAAATCTAAAATTAAAAACCAAAAATACGTTTCCTCAAGGAACGTCAAAATACTTCAAAGTGAAAAAAATCAACCGAAGTGAAATGGATGAAATTATGACGTGTAGGTTTGAAACTGTTATTGAAAATTGTTCCACAAACGAACCACACACACACACACATCAAACAAAAACGAAGCACATATACCCATACATACGAGTACAAATTGTTGCAAACATATACACTTACGTACGTACACATGCGGTATCATCCACACATTCATGAGGCATGTATGTATAATGCGCGTATGTTTAACTGTCTTTAGATTTCTGCTACCTCGCATGTCAGTCCCTCCCTGGCCTCTTTCACTTTATCGTTCCTTTCGCTTCTGTTATCTTTTAATGTAGCCAAGGGTCATAACAAATATGTATCCATTATTTGACATTAAACGTAGGCAACGCAACTTGGTAAAATAAGTCTCATGAAAGATAACTGGCAGATAGTCTAATTCGAAAGCCTCGTATCTCATGTTAAAAACAGAGTCACTGGAAATCAGGCTCGCGGGCCGGTCAAAATGCCTTCGCTGGCTGGATCCGGCCCGCGGGCCGTAGGTTGCCGATCGTTGCTTTAGAGGAAAGGTTCATTAGCACAATTACTATGAAAGTATTTATAGAAAAGGCACAGTGAAGCTACGTAGCAGTGTTGGGAAAGTGACTAAAGTCCAGATGCCAGGTTAGGACCAATAACATTGCAGATTCTTCTTTGGATTTTATCATTTCACCCCAAGCAAGGCAATAAATTTCTTCTTCTAAATGGCGAATAACTTTTCGAAAATATTGGATATATTTTTAAAACGTGCAACAGTCGAGATTATGAAAAGTGATTCGCAATTAAGAAAAGACAATGCAACACAATATTTTTAAAAAATAAAAAGAACATTGTTGATATCCCCTGACGAGCGGCCGGAGCGATTGCTCGAGGGTCTACCAGCGAAAGTCTAGAGTCGGAATGCTGAAGGTTACGCCAATCGGCTAAGAACAAAGGGTTTACTGAGCGCTAGAGAATATGATAAAAATCAATAAAAAAAAATAGAATTAAGAAAACAAAGTTGACTAAAAGCAAGAAGACGGAAGAGAATTCCACAAGCGAGAAGTGCGATAGAAGAAACTGTTAGCATAGGACTTACGGCTAATCATTTCAACTGTAAAATGATGATAACTTGCCATCAATCAAGGGATGTGCTTAAATAGATAGATATGAACAGACTCCGACAGACAGACAGATAGATAGATAGATAGATAGATAGATAGATAGATAGATATAAACAGATTGATAGCATAGAACTTACAGTTAAATATAAACATTTCAACTGGAAAATGATGAGACCTAGCTGCCAATCTAGTACTGTACTTAGAGTCTAGATACTACAGAGGAAAGTTCATCAGAACAATTACCATGAAATTATTTATAGAAAAGGCAGAGGGAAGCTACGTTACGCTGGTAGGAAAGGGACTTTAGACAAGATGCCCGATCAGGACCAATAATATTGCAGATTCTTCTTTGGATTTTATCAAGAATCTCTAAAAATATAGCAGAAACACCAGACCAGATGTGGCAGCAATATTCTAAGCATGGATGAATGGTAGACTTATAAATATGTAAGGTGTATTCTGGGAAGTAAAATTTCCACCAATCTAGTACTGTGCTTAAATTCATAGAGTCTAGGCACCAATGCGGAAAGTATTTATAGAAAAAGCCGAGGGAAGCTACGTAAAAGTTATGGGAAAGGGACTAAGGTCGAGATGCCAGATCAGGGCCAGTAACATTGCAGATTCCTCTTGGGAATTTATCATTTCACCCAAAGTAAGGCAATAAATTTCTTATTCATTTTTTTCTTTGCTTTTCTTGTAAATAGCGAATCACATTTCACAAATATTGAATATATTTTTGAAATCTGCAACAATAAAAGAATGATCCTCAAAACAATAACCATTGAAAAGTCACAGGGAAGATGAATTATGGCGGGAGGAACGTGACTGAAACAGAGATGCCAGATTAGAACTAATAACATTGCAGACTTTGGATTTTATCAAGAATCTCTAAATATGTAGCAGACGCACAGGGCCTAACGTGGCGGCAAATTTCAGGGACGAATGGTAGACATATAAATATGTAAGACAGATTCACGACATTAAAACGTTCAGCCCTGCGTTTCTGAACAATTTTACCCCTTCTGCCTGAGCTCACGAGTCAAAATTGTCTAATACGACATAGTAAAAGCTACATGAGATGCCAGATCAGGACTATTAATATTGCTAATTCTTTGAATTCTTAATGTCGAATAGTTAATCTGATCAAATTTCATAAAAGTATTTATAAATAAAATGCACAGGTAAGCTACGTTAGGGCGGTGGCAAAGTGACAGAGGCCGAGATTCTGAGCTTGAAACGAGTCCAATTGACATCTCATACGTCTGGTAGATGTGTTAGCCACCGTTCGGGTATTCGAAGAGCCTCTGTTCTTAGTCTACCCTGATTATTTTTATATCCTTCTGAGCTTGAAACGAGTCCAATTGACATTTCATACGCCTGGAAGATGTGTTAGCCAACGTTCGGGTACTGCAAAGAGCCAAAGTTCTTAGTCTATCCTGCTTTTTTTTTTTTTATCTTTCTGAGCTTGAAACGAGTCCAATTGACATCTGATACGTCTGTTAGATGTGTTAGCCGCCGTACGGGTTCTTCAAAGAGCCACAGATCCTAGTCTAACCTGATTATTCTTATGTCCTGCTGAGCTAGAAATGAGTTCTATTGACATCTCATACGTCTGGTAGATGTGTTAGCCACCGTTCGGGTACTTCAAAGAGCCTCTATTCTTAGGCTATCCTGCTTCTTTTTATGTCATTCTGAGGTTGAAAAGAGTCCAATTGACATCTTCTACGTCAGGAAGATGAGTTAGCTACCATTCGGGAACTTAAAAGAGCCTCAGTTCTTAGTCTATCCTGATTATTTTATGTCCTTCTGAGCATGAAACGATTCCAATTGACATCTCATACGTCTGGTAGATGTGTTAGCCACCATTCGGGTACTTCAAAGAGCCTTTGTTCTTAGTTTATACTAGTTCTATTTATGTCTTCCCGAGCGTGAAACGAGTCCAATTGACATCTCATACGTGTGGTAGAGATTTTCGCCACCGTTCGGTTACATCAAAGAGCCTCTGTGCTTCGACTATCCTGATTCTTTTTGTGTCCTCCTGAGCTTGAAACGATTCAATTTGACATCTCATAAATCTGGTAGATGTGTTAGCCACCGTTCGGGTACTTCAAAGAGGCACAGTTCTTAGTCTAACCTGATTCTTTTTATGTCCTTCGGAGGTTGAAACGAGTCCAATTGACATCTCATACGCCTGGTAGAAGTATTAGCCACCGTTCGGGTACTTCATAGGGCCACAGATCTTACTCTAACCTGATTCTTTTTATATGCTTCTGAGCTTGAAACTAGTCCAACTGACATCTAATACGTCTGGTAGATGTGTTAGCCACCGTTCGGGTACTTCAAAGACCCTCAGTTCTTAGCCTATCCTGATTATTTTTATGTCCTTCAGAGGTTGAAACGAGTCCAATTGACATCTTATAGGTCTGGTAGATGTGTTAGCCACCGTTCGGGTATTCATAGTGCCTCAGTTCTTAGCCTATCCTGATTATTTTTATGTCCTTCAGAGGTTGAAACGAGTCCAATTGACATGTTATACGTCTGGTAGATGTGTTAGCCACGGTTCGGGTATTCAAAGACCCTAAGTTCTTAGTCAATCCTAATTCTTTTTATATCATTCTAAGCGTGAAACTAGTCCAATTGACATCTCATACGTCTGGTAGATGTGTTAGCCACAGTTCGGGTACTTCAAAGAGCCTCAGTTCAAAGTCTATTCTGAATATTTTTATGTTTTTCTGAGGTTGAAACGAGTCCAATTGACATCTTATAGGTCTGGTAGATGTGTTAGCCACCGTTCGGGTACTTCAAAGAGCCACTATTCTTAGTCTATCCCGATTCATTTTATATCCTTCTGAGCTTGAAACGAGACCAATTGACATCTCATACGACTGGGAGATGACTTAGCCACCGTTCGGGTACTTCAAAGAGCCAGTATTCTTAGTTTATCCTGATTCTTTTTATGTCCTTCGGAGGTTGAAACGAGTCCAATTGACATCTCATACGCCTGGTAGAAGTATTAGCCACCGTTCGCGTACTGCAAAGAGCCAGTATTCTTAGTCTATTCTGGGTTTTTTATGTCCTTCGGAGGTTGAAACGCCTGGTAGATGCGTTAGCCACCATTCGGGTAATTCAAACAGCCTCTGTTCTTAGTCTACCCTGATTATATTTATATCATTCTGAGCTTGAAACGAGTCCAATTGACATCTCATACGTCTGCCAGATGTGTTAGCCACCGTTCGGGTACTTCAAAGTGCTTCAGTTCTTTAGTTCTATCCTGATTATTTTATATCTTTCTAAGCATGAAACGAATCCAATGGACATCTCTGACGTCTGGTAGATGTCTTAGCCACCGTTCGGGTACTTCAAAGAGCCTCAGTTCTTAGTCTATCCTGATTATTTTTATGTCATTCTGAAGTTGAAACGAGTCCAATTGACATCTTATATGTCTGATAGATGAGTTAGCCACCGTTCGTGTACTTCAAAGAACCCCAGTTCTTAGTCCATCCTGATTCTTTTTATATCCTTCTGAGCTTGAAGCGAGTCCAATTGACATCTCATACGTCTGGTAGATGTGTTAGCCACCGTTCGGGTACTTCAAAGAGCATCAGATGTTAGTCTATCCTGATTCTGTTTATATGCTTCTGAGCTTGAAACGAGTCCAGTCGACATCTTATATATCTGATAGATGAGTTAGCCACTGTTCGTGTACTTCAAAGAACCCCAGTTCTTAGTCCATCCTGATTCTTTTTATATCCTTCTGAGCTTGAAACGAGTCCAATTGACATCTCATACGTCTGGTAGATGTGTTAGCCACCGTTCGGGTACTTCAAGGAGCCTCTGTTCTTAGTCTATCAGGATTCTTTTTATATCCTTCTGACCTTGAAGCGGGTCCAATTGACATCTCATACGTTAGGTAGTTATGTTAGCCACCGTTCTGTTACATCAAAGAGCCTATCCTGATTAATTTTTTATGCCCTTCTCTATGAAATAGTCCAGTTGTCAACTGTTACGTCCGGTAGATGTGTTATAAACAGCTCAGGGTATGAGTTACTTTGTTCTTCGTCCATCTTGATTCTTTTATGCCCTTCTGGGCCAATGAGTCCAGTTGTCAAATGATACGTCCGGTAGATAGGTTAGCTACCGCTCAGGTCTTTGAAGTGCCTATGTTCTTACTCGATCTTTTCTTTTTATCCTTCTGGGCTTGAAATGAGTCCAGTTGTCAACTATTACGTCCGGTAGATGTGTTTGAAGTACCGGTCCCAGGTAATTACAGTGACATCTCATATTCTTTTTATGTTCTGGTAAAAATGATCAGGATGTTCGTCGGTAGAACAGTTAGCTCTTTGAAATACCGTGCCTATGTTCTTCGTCCATCATGATTCTTTTATGCGCTAGCACATCTAGGTTGTCCAACTGCCTCTAGATGTGTTAGTCTATTCAAGGTGCCTCTTCTACCCTGATTATATTTATATCATTCTGAGCTTGAAACGAGTCCAATTGACATCTCATACGTCTGCCAGATGTGTTGGCCACCGTTCGGGTACTTCAAAGTGCTTCAGTTCTTTAGTTCTATCCTGAATATTTTATATCTTTCTAAGCATGAAACGAGTCCAATGGACATCTCTGACGTCTGGTAGATGTCTTAGCCACCGTTCGGGTACTTCAAAGAGCCTCAGTTCTTAGTCTATCCTGATTATTTTTATGTCATTCTGAAGTTGAAACGAGTCCAATTGACATCTTATATGTCTGATAGATGAGTTAGCCACCGTTCGGGTACTTCAAAGAGTCTCAATTCTTAGTCTATCCTGATACTTTTTATATCCTTCTGAGCTTGAAGCGAGTCTAATTGACATCTCATACGTCTGGTAGATGTGTTAGCCACCGTTCGGGTACTTCAAAGTACATCAGATGTTAGTCTATCCTTATTCTGTTTATATACATCTGAGCTTGAAACGAGTCCAGTTGACATCTTATATGTCTGATAGATGAGTTAGCCACCGTTCGTGTACTTCAAAGAACCCCAGTTCTTAGTCCATCCTGATTCTTTTTATATCCTTCTGAGCTTGAAACGAGTCCAATTGACATCTCATACGTCTGGTAGATGTGTTAGCCACCGTTCGGGTACTTCAAG